GGCATGTCACTGACCTCTGAGGTACACCTAATGGTTGGTAGGTTTGTTGAACATGTCAGACTAAGCCCTTATTGTCTCTTCACCAATACAGCCAGGAAAAACAGCCAAATTTGTGAAACCGACATTCTTAACAGCACCATATTGTCATTGTCATATGCAAAGCATGCAGGATTCTGTATGTACTTCCTCTCACAAAAGTGCTACACTAAGCCAGCATGGGTTATGCTTAATAACACAGTAACTAAAAAAGTTAGTTACCAGAAAGACTAAAATAGTAACTAAAAATAGTTACTGTAAAAATAGTGCAACAGTAATATGTATCAAGTTTATATACACACACATACATATGCAATGAAGTAACTAAACACTGTTAGAAAAGTTTACAGGTCAGTGGGGAAACCAAACTGAAAGAAAGAGTAACAATGTACTATATAGTTCAGGAGATTAAATGCTATAATTTTACAATGTTTTATTATTAAGATCCTGAAAGAAACTTTACTTGGAAAACCAGCCTTCTTGTGGTAGGCATGTCTATTTTCTTGAAGAAAGCCTCAAATACACAAGCATACAATCCTATTTCATTACCAGCAGGGCAGCCCTAAAAAGATAGGTAGGGTACTGTTCTTATCATGCCACCCACTTCCTCTGTAGGTTCCCAGGGCCACATGCCTAATGGACTCTTCCCTGAGGGGACAATTAATCAACCAGCAAGGCTTCCTGAATCAACACCTGCAGGTTTCCACACCTTCTCTACTCCACATGCTCACTGTTGCCGCTACTGAAGCTCAGTTCTTGTTAGCGCTGGCCTCTCCATCTACCCACTAACATTCTTTCCCTCTGTAATTTAAACAGGCACAGACTCTGCTACCAGGCCTCAACAGTACCTTTCCACCCTCTAACCCTCCCATCACCCCTCCCGGCACCAACAAAAGCCCGTGGCTTTGGCTGAATCAAGCTGGTTGCTAGGCACTGTTCAGGAGCTCTGATGGTGTAGTGCCTAAGGCATGTGACTACTAACCAGGAAGGCTGGTGGTTCAAACCCACCAGCCGCTTCTCGGAAGGAAGATTGGGCAATCTACTTCTGCAGTGATACTGCCTTGGAAACTCAAGGAGGAGTCACTATGAGTCGGACTCGACTCGATGGCGGTTTCTTTTAACTTTCTACTGGCAGGTCTGCTCCTGTGATTGGAGGGTTTTTCCATCACACTCTTTCCCAAAAACAAGGCATTTCTAGCCCTCAAGAATCAACTAATATCTCCACGGAGCCTTTCCTTACTTCTCCAAACTAGTAACAACCTTCCTTAAATAAGCTTCCACAGCCCTTCAATAGGATCCATGGCTCTGCGTCACTGCAGGACCTAACAGTACACAGAGAGGAACAGGCAGGCAAGCAGTGGATTACAAATAATGGAATTATTACCCCCTATTAACTCTACCACCACATCTCATTCACAGTCACATTAGTTACTTTCAGGGCTTAGAATCCTACTGCTGTGCAAATTCAATCTTCACCCATGTCTAAAATTCAACTAAACTTTAGTCATATTATTACTTTGAATACTCCAGGACAATACTGGAGTAATGCTGTGCATTTACTTCTTTTAAAAACATCTTTCAAAACCTTTTCACAATCATTTAATCAATAACATTGGCTTAGCAGTCTACTGTGTTCAAGGCTTGGGAACACAGAGATAACGGGTGGGGAAAATGAGACATGCATGTTCATAGCCACAGTGCAAGAGTTATGAATGCAGTTGTCATCATGAATATAGTGCTTTGGAAAGAGAATAAGGAAGAAAATCTGCCTGAGAGATCACAAAAGACTTCACAAGAGAGAGCCTGCAACCAGAAAAAGGCATGCTGGTAGAATGATGGACACACTCAAAATGGCCCAAGGGGAAACAGCAGTGGATGCGGGTGGAAGGAAAGGGTGAGGGCCAGAGATGTTGGAGATCAGGCAGGGCCTAGCACACCACCAACCTCATTGGACAGACGAAGGAGAGGGAAAGCTAGGAAAGAGTCTTCCCTTTCAACAGATTTCTCAGAGGTTTCAAATGGATGGTATAATTTTCACCAAATCAAAGTGTGGACAGGTTATGGAGAATGCTATCTGTAAATCAATAGATACATCCTCACCTAATAAATAACCAGTTCAAAAAAAAAAAAAATGTATGGAATTCCTCCTATGGGCTACTAAAAGAAAATTACTTATTCCTTGTAACCAAGGAATTTCTGAAAACTCTTATGGCCCCCAAGGCCTAAATATACACAGAATTTACCACCAAACAAAGTTGAGAGAACTCTATCCTAAAGATAAAAGTATTTCACTGGCTGAGACATTAGATTGAAGAAAAACAGTAACATTGTAAAATAATGGTAGCAACTAGAAGTTTGTTGATCCTATGACTACCCATTAGCACTGTCATATCCCCTTACATCACTCTCTGTGATGGTGATGGGAAGGCCACGCAGCATGATGGTCTTGCTCTCCCTCTCGTCACTGATGTCGTGCCTGTAGTCATGCTCACCATAGTCACCATCTGAATGGTAGCCATCTTCTGATCGGTCACTGTTTCTTCTTTCACGCTCCCTCTAATTTACAACAAACAAAAAATTGCACTTAAAATCACAATGAATTTATACTCCTGATCCAGGCCCTCCACTCCCAAGATATTTATCCTAAGAATCGTTCTTAGGAAGAAAGTCAGTGGAGACAACCTCCATCATGATCATGCTCACTACAGTGTTGTCTTTAAAAAAAAAAAAAAAACAAAGGCAAAGGCAACAAACCTTTAGGTCAGGAAGAATGGTTTACTGAGTTACTGTACAGTATACAGTACATCAATACACAATTAAATATCATTACTTATTACACTATAAAGATCTTATTTATAGAAAAAATTCAGTCGAAAAAGGAAAAAAAAAGGTAGTGCATAGTTATATGGGCAGCACAATTAATTCTAAACAAAACTATGTATATGAGAAGAATGTAAAAAAAAAAAAAGCTATGTTAATTCAATATTTATATTATTATGCCTCCACTATCTCATCTTTGGGAGCTCTGGTGGCATAGTCCCTAAGGCATCAGACTGCTAACCAAAAGGCAGGCAGTTCAAACTCCCAAGCCACTCCTTGGAAGGAAGATTGGGTAATCTACTTCTGTAGAGATACCATCTGGGAAACCCAAGAAGAGGTTGCTATGAGTTGGATCAACTCAATGGCAGTGAGTTATCTCATCTTTGAAATAGGCATTATTAACACCTACCTTGTAGGGTTACAGTGAGACTCAAAAGAGTTTACATAAAGTGCTCAGCATAGTGCCTGGTAAGCCCTATGTAAATGCTGGCTATTATTTCTATTATTATAAGGCTCAGTTTGTCCTTGGAGATTATAGTCAGTTCAAATGTATTTCAAAATAATAGGGGTTTTGAATATACATCCAACAACAGTCACTTATATGAGCCAACTATATCTAACAGTTGTATGAGACAAAAATCTCTGCATATCTGCAAAAGATTTCCACACCTGGTGTACTTATTTCAACAGTGCTAGCAGATTTTGAGCATGCAAATCATAATTCTAACAGATGCTGGTCACTCACCTCTGGACTGTCATAGTCTCGGTAGTCATCGTATCTATCACCCCTCCGATCATCACTAGATCTTTTGTAATCTGAGTCCCTCCGCCGGCTTCTGGATTCACGCTCATCACGGTCATCTCTGTCTATGATGGAACCGTACCTTCCACTACGCTCTGTTCTACTCACTCTGCCAAGGAAAATAACTTTCATTTAATCTAAAGTAAATTACATTTTGTACCTTTAGAAAACACGGTTGCAAACACACAGATTGCACTACTCATTTTATAAGATATATCTAAATAGTTTAATGTTATATTTTTTTACAATTTATTATCATAGACAAAGACAACCATTGGGAAAACACATTTCTAAAACCAAGGATAATTCTCAGGAACTTATGCTAAAATGGAAAATACAACTATCAAATATTTTTTGGAAAGGGTCAGGCTGCTCAAGTTTATTCCTGTTTCCTCAAGTTGTGGTCTACACAGCACACCTTTTATTCCCATTTCAGCTCTCAGTGACCAAAGACAGGAATAAAGCTATTACTAGGATTTCACTCAATTTCAAGGGTATATCCTGACTCATCCACTCTCAAGGGTATATCTACTGAGAAATGGACCAACACCTGGATGAGCTAATTAATTTTTTTCCCACTTGTTAAACATAACTGGATGGTCAGCCAAAAATCTAACAAGAAGAGGTTTAAACCCACTTGACCACATATATAAATAGTTCTTTCATAAATTGTTTCCCAAATTCATAAAACTAATGGGCAAGAACAAGACAACAAAAAGGCTTACAAAGGCCTCAATTTAGAATACAAATGTAATAAAAAGAAACCAGGAAACAAGTAGTTTAGGACTACCTGATGATGTGAAATACATGGCTAAGAGATTCTAAAATGCAATTTAGTAAGTAATTTGGAACCACAGACTGCTCATATAGCATTAAAACAATAACATCACGTGACCTAGACATTTCCCAAGTCTGAGCTATCAATATGATCCATCACTGAAGCTGATCTTTATACCAAGGAGGCAAATGGCTAGATAAGTAAAGGTTTGACTTTAAATCAAATGATCTAAGAGGGAGTGCCTACAGGTGACACAGAAGACAAATGCTCTCTCTCTTTTTTTTTTTTACTGTGATTTTGGTGAAAGTTTACAGAACAAATTCATCTTCCATACGACAGTTAACATACACTGTCTCATGATATTGACTGTAATCTCGCACAGTGCAACAGCTCCCCTCTCACTTCCTCCCCCTAGTTACCTCTTCCCTGGGTCTTTCCCTCCCATGCACTCCTGCCCGGCCCCCCAAGCTGTCTCCCTGTGCATACACAGCCCTTCTCTTCTCCCATGATAGATCTCTCCAAGGGGTGTATCTGTTGTTGTTGTTGTTATGTGCTGTCGAGTCGGACCCGACTCATAGCGACCCCTCCTTGCATTTCCGAGGCAGTGTCACTACGGAAGTAGATTGCCCTATCTTCCTTCCAAGGAGTGGCTGGTGGGTTTGAACCGCCAGCCTTCTGGTTAGCAGTCAAGTGCCTTAGGCACTAGCTCTTATGCCTGTCTTTTGTTTGGCTGGAAGCCACAGGAGTGAGTTTAATTCCAGCTCTGAAGGGCACCTAAGGGCCATAGTCTCAGGGGTTTCACCAGGCTCCATCAGTCCCCCCCCCCTTTTTTTTTTTTAAATGATATTGAGTTTTGTTCCACATTTTTCTCCCACTCTATCCGGGATATACACAGATCCCCTCCGGAGTGGTTGACAGTGATAGCCAGGCACCATCTAGTTCTTCTGGTCTCAGTCATATAGGCTAAGGATCACATGGTGCACCATGGACTAAGTGATTCCATGAGTCTTTGGTTTCCTTCATTCTTCTTTGCTCTGGAGGAGGGGAGACCCATCATTGCATTCAGATGGCCACTTATAAGCTTTTTAGATCCCAGTTGCGGGATCTTAAAAGCTTGCAAACAGCCATCTAGATGCAATGATGGGTCTCTCCTCGTCCAGAGCAAAGAAGAATGAAGAAAACCAAAGATTCATGGAAACAATTAGTCCCTACGACTGGTACACCGTGCGATCCTCAGCCTATACAACTATGAGAACAGAACTAGATGGTGCCCGGCTACCACTGTCAACTACTCACAGGGGGATCTATGTAGGAGATCCCAGATAGAGAGGGAGAACAATGTGGAAAAAAACTCAAAATCATTTGGAAAAAAAGGGACCAGGTTTGCTGGTCTGACAGAGCCTGGCAGAATCACTGAGACTATGGTCCCTAGCTGCCATTCAGGTCTGGAATTTAACATACACCTGTGGCTTCCAGCCAAACAAAATACAGACATATGAGTTGAACATGTACCTGAGGTAGATACACTCCTTGGACAGAACAATCACAGGAGAAAGAAGGGCTGTTTATGCACAGGGATACAGTTCAGGGGGCAGGGGTGCATGCAGGGATGGACACAGTTAATTATTGGGAGGAAGTGGGAAGGGAGCTGTTGCACTGGGGTAAATTGTAGTCAACTTCATGAGACAATGTATGTGTGAACTGCTGTATGGAAAGTGAATCTGCTCTGTAAACTTTCACCCAAATCACAAAAATAAAATAAAATAAAATACAGATGGCAAGACTTCATCTCATGTACTTTGGGTGTATTATCAGGAGGGACCAGTCTCTGGGGAAGGACATTGTGCTTAGTAATGTAGAGGGTCAGCAAAAAAAGGGAAGATTCTCAATGAGAGGGACTGACATAGTGGCTCCAACATGATGATAACTGTGAGGATGACACAGGACTGGGTAGTGTTTCATTGTGCTGTATGGTATCTAAAAACAGTAAAACATGCTGCTGGGGAAAAAAAAAAAGGATCCCAGTCACTACTCACCAAAGCAGAACGTGGAACAATGTTTTTGTATTGTATGCCAATTGAGCCTGATGTCCCTTGCAACTATGGGTCCAAGCCCACAGGTCCAACTACTTGCTCCCTCTGGGTAGCTGGCTGGGGCCAAGAAGTGACTACAACCTTGTCCCTTGTCAAATGCTCTTATCTTAATCCCCCACTAACTCTTTAACACTTTTCGTTTCTTTTTTTCCCTCTCACATAACCCATAGCCTGAAGTTTATCAGATCTATAAGCTAAACTGTCTTGCTACTTAGGGGCCAATAACAAGAACTGGCATTCATAAATTCTTACTATAGTGAGGAACAGTGCTTAAATGCTAGATTGAATGATCTCCCAGCTTCTGCATAGGCTGTGCACACTAGGAACCCTCAGTTACCCACTCTATCCCACTCATTTGCCTAATTCTTACTTACTCTTCAGGCTTCTTCTCAGAGGATACTTTATCCAGGAAACTTTCCTGGCTATAAGGAGCTCTGGTGGTGAAGTGGTTAAAGCATATGGCTGCAAACTAAAATGTGAGCAGTTCAAACCCACCAGCTGCTCCACAGAAGAAAGATGCAGCAATCTACTTCCATAAAGATTTACAGTCTTGGAAACCCTATGAGGCTAGTCTACCCTGTCCTTTAGGTTTGCTATGAGTTGGAATTGACTCGATGGCTATGGGTTTGGGTTTTGAATTCCTAACTATTTGCAGGAAAACAAATACTTCCTATGTATTCTAACAGCACCTGAAACTTCATCATAGCTCAGTTCATATAGTACTCCCTCACTAGACAGCAAGCTTGTGAGAGCAGGAATCATAAATGCACTCAATACTGTATTCTTAGTGTCTAGCAATGCCTGACACATATTTACTTGATTAACAATCTTTAACAAATAGTTCAGTTCTCACCAAAATGTTGACATCAAAGGCACGCACTACAGTTACTTACCGTTTGTCTGAACCCATTGTCCTGCTGAAGATCTAGCACAATGCTTCAAAAGGTTGAAATTTTGTTTTTTCAAGGAGACAAGACTGGTTGCTGCAAATTTGAGGAATCACTTCAGTCAATCGTTCTATATGATGGGATACTACTGAGGGCTGAATTTCCTCAAACACCGGATTATCTAAAGTGGGGGAAGGGAAGATTGTGATTGATCATGAATAAATATGAAAACCACACCAACATTTTAAATACAAGCCTAGAAGATGAAATAACCTTAAAAATATTAGATTCTATATTCGATTAAAAAATCATAAAAGGGTGCAGGCAGATACCTTCCTTGCTTCTTAGGATTACAAAGCAAAGAAGGACAAACTACAATCAGTTCTCTGGGTTCTAAATCAAAGCAACGCCGATGTGGTAGTTGATCAATAATCAAAGTATCTTTATTAACAGAAGTAGCAACATGAAATTCAAAAATTTCCGTTGCAAAATTTTGAACGTCTTAGAAACTGGGATACTGAGCTAACTGAAATTTCCATTTAAACGAGCAATGGCTGATTCAAAGCCTGAACTGTCAAGACTGATTCCTCGGTAACAATAACCACTATGTCTTGAGCCAGGCCTGACCACCACAAGCCACCAAATGGTGGCCAGCATGGCCCCGCCGCGCCCTGTTGTTGTTGTTGTTGTTTGCCGTCGAGTCGGCCCCGACTCATAGCGACCCCTCCTTGGGTTTCCGAGGCAGTATCACTACGGAAGTAAGATTGCCCAACCTTCCTTCCGAGGAGTGGCTGGTGGGTATGAACCGCCAGCCTTCTGGTTAGCAGTCAAGTGCCTTAGCCACTATGCTACCCTGGCGGTGATAAAACATCACACAGCTCGACAGCGTTTAATGCGTGCAAGAGCGGCGTAACGAGATACAGCCGTTCTCGGCGACTGGTGTGGAACATGAGTTCAACGAACATTTATTTTAGTAATAAAATGGAAGAGAACCATCTGGTAGAAACAAGTGCCGTGGCAGAATCACTGGTACCTCCTCTCGTCTCCCCAAGGGGGGGCGGAACCACCCCCGTGGGATATTGCAGCCGAGATGGCGGCGACGCGGCCTGCGCGCCCTATCTGGGCGTCCGGCCTGCCTTCTCTTCCTACACACGCCTGCACCTCTCCCAGAGGTCGTAGCCCGCACCGCGCAGCCTTCTGGCGAGTAGATTCAGCTACAGTTGAGGGGCGGTGGCGGTTTGAGACTGCCAGGACACCCTCGAGGGACGGGCGACGGCTCCACTGTTCAGCTAAACTGGGCCTCAGGGACGCCTGCCGGCAGGGGCTGACTCAAAGCCCGAAAGACGTGGGGCTGGGTTGGGGGCGCCCTCTGGAAACTGACAGCGTTGGCAGAGAGAAGGGACGCAGCCCTGCAACGCCTTGGGTTGCTTAGCCCCTCAAGACCAGGATGGGTCTGGTCGGCCGCCGCTCGCGGCTGACAGGACAGTCCAAAGGCCTGACTCGATGGCAAGAACCGCTGGTTGATATGGGGAGCCTACGCACTTACCCCAAGAGGGACTGAAGCAGCAGCCGTAGTCTGCGCCCCAGAACCTCCAGCTGGGTTCAGCCGCTCCACAAAATGGCGCCGCCTCCGACGGCCGTCTCCTACCCACAGTACTACGCGCTTCCCTCCTCTCCCCACCCCTCGCCACTCGCCTCCTGTGGAAGGCGTCCAATCAGCTCAAGGGCCTGGCTGCGCGAGGGATGTCGGGAAGTGTGGTCGTCAAGGCAGCCTGTCACTACGCCCCGTGTTTATTTCTTGCATGTTTCTGTTCCCTTTCTTCTAAAACCACCGCAGAGTTAACAATTTACCCTTTGCAGAATCCAATGAGACCTCTTTGGGCTTTCTCTTTATTAGGCATAATAATTATTTGCCTTTGTTACAAAGATCTTAGCCCATTTTACTTTCACTAAGTATTAAACACATTTAATCCAGCTTCAAGACAAAGAACTTAAATTGATGTCCGACTCCTCACTGGACACTAGATAAGATTAGATTACTGTGCTAGATGCTTTACAAACTTTTTTTTTTTTATCTTCATAAGCTATAAGATGGATATTGTGTTAGACTAGGTTATCTAGAGAAACAAAACCAGTAAAGCTTATATATATAGAGAGAGAAATTTATCTTAGGAAAATGGCTCACACACTTATAGAAGCTGGCAAGTCCAAAGTTCTTGGATCAAACGTCAAGCTGGAGGCTTTTCCCAACTCTTGCAGCTGCAGGGGCTGAGGAGCTCAAGGTTGGCAGGCAGTATACTGGCTGTTGATTCCAACAAATGACAAATCCAAGATCTCCAGGCCGAATGGTGGATTGTTCGCTCATGGACAGTTGTAGGCAGCACAACAGAATCCCCATCCACAGAAGAAGAAGAATGTCTCTTTTCCCAGGTTGTCCATAAATATACTGGAAGCAGGCCACACCCCTGGGGAAACTCCCTTTCAATGGATTGGCTGCTCAAAACATATTCATCTGATCCCATCATGGGAGTAACCACATCACAATTGCTTAAACCACACAGAATTGTGGTCCAGCCAAGTTGACACACAGCTCCAACTATCACAGATATTAAAGCCACTTTGCAGATAAGAAAACTGAGATGTGTGAAAATTAAAATTCTTGAAAGCAAGTCTTCAGTGTCTGGGGTCCTTTCCAATGGTACTCTCTTAAGGAAAGGGCTTAGGAAAGTAAGTGTCCAGGGTTAATTTAATAGTTAAGAAGCCCTGATTATAAATGGTTAAGCTCTGGGGTGCTAACACAAAGGCTGGATATTCAAACCCATCAGTGGCTCCCGCCATTGGTTCCGTAATGATTACAGCTTAGGAAACCCTTACAGGGCCATACTACTGCCATTATATAGGGTTACTATGATTCAGAGGGAGCTCTGGTAGCATAGTGGCTAAGGCACTTGACTGCTCACCAGAAGGCTAGCGGTTCAAACCCACCAGCCACTCCTCGGAAGGAAGGTTGGGCAATCCTACTTCCGTAGTGATACTGCCTCAGAAACCCAAGGAGGGGTCGCTATGAGTCGGGGCCGACTCGACGGCAAACAACAACAACAACAACAATGATTCAGAATCGATATGATGGCACACAACAACAACTTAACAGCTTCTACTTGGAAGTTGAATTGGCATCTCAAAGTGAAAACAGCCAAACCCAGCCTGTCTCCTCCATATACTTCCCCAACTCAGGAAAAAATGGCAACTCTCTACAGACAATAAGGATAAACACTTTTACATACACAATACTGCATTATCAGTAAAAACAAACATTAATCTATGGGTGGATACGTAGGTAGACAGGCTAATTGATCAGATATGTTTAGGCAAAAAGGAATATAACCATGACCATATGTAATTTTGGCAGATGATATTTCTGCATACGTATTTGTATATGCTATAAGAATGTCCATATACATGACATAGCTAACAGGGCAAAGTTATGATAACTTCTTCACCACAGCCAAATACTCTGAGGTGTGAGTCACTGGGTCCATGGGCTTGGGACCATGGTTGCAGGGGACATAAAGTTCAGTTGGCATAACGTAGTACACAAAAACATTGTTCTACATCCTACTTGGGTGAGTAGCAACTAGGGTCTTAAAAGCTTGCAAGTGGCCATCTAAGATGCAACAATTGGTCTCTTCTTGTCTGGAACAAAGAAGTATGAAGAAAAACAAAGACACATAGACACAATTAGTCCAGGGGACTAGTGGATCATACGAATCTCAACCTACATGACCCTGAGACCAGAAGAACTAGATAGTGCCTGGCTACCACTGTCAACTCAGAAAAGGATCAAAATAGGAGATCCTGGATAAAGTGGGAGAAAAATGTGGAACAAAGCTCAAAATTATCAAAAAATACAAGGCTTGCTGGTCTGATAGAGCTGGACCCCAAGGTTGAGGGGCTTTCAACCAGCCCCTAGAGCCTGGCACTTTGCACTTGGACTTAAAGCCTCCAAATTGTAAGAATAAACTCCTGTTTATTAAGGCCATCCCATTTGTGGTATATTCTTGTCAGAGCGGCACTAGGTAACCAGAACATCATCTATAACTGACTCCTTTTTTCAATCATACTTAATTTGCCAGCATCAAATCAATACAGAAGAATTGATGCAGTTGGATTATGGTATTGGCAAAAAATTTGAGTACACTCATGGACTGCCAGAAGAATGAACAAATCTTTCTTGGAAGTATAGCCAGAATGTTCCTCAGAAGTGAGAATGGCCAAACTTTATCTCTCGTACTTTGGTTGTGTTATCAGGAGGGACCAGTCCCTGAAGAAGGATATCATGCTTGGTAGAGGGTCAGTGAAAAACAGGAAGACCCTCAATGAGATAAACTGACACAGTGACTGCAAGAATGAGCTCAAACATAGGAATAGTTGTCAGGATGGTTCAGGCTGGGACAGTGTTTCATTATGTTGTGAGTTGAAACTGACTCAACAGCAACTAACAATAATTTGCCAGCAAAACTTTTGACTATATATCCAAAAGATACCTAGAATCCAACCACTTCTAGCTGCCTCCACTGCTTTCCACCCTAGTTAAAGCCATCGTCACTATACTTGTTTTACAAAAACAGTGGAGGAACTGGGTTATGAACTAGGAGTCCATGCCCTCAGCCACTAGAATATAAACTCCAGAAGGGCAGGACTTTTTTCTTTTTATTAAACTCACAACTACGTTACTAGGGCCTTTACTGGTACCTGGCATGTAGTGGGGACTCAATAAATGTGTTGAATGAGCCAATGAATTTACTATCAAAGCTAAAAGTGTAACATTTGTGCTGGAAAGAAACAAAGGCCCTTAGATCAAAGAGGTATGTTTTGGACCCTGACTAGTCAGTAAGATGGTGGTATTCTTATGCACTCAGTTAGCATAAATTTTCCCCTGACATAATATATACACATCTATGATTCTTCCTTGTCTGTCAGTTTGTCCTACTGTGGTGGCTTGAGTGTTGCTGTGAGACTGGAAGCTATGCCACTGGTGTTTCAAATGCCAGCAGGGTTACCCATGGTGGACACGTTTCAGCAGA